ATAAACAAAAGCCACTGTGGAGCTCTGTTCTGTGATGGAAATGTGATTTTTTGTTTTGTAAGGATTCCACACTACTGTTTTGCTTCTTTCATTTTAAGAAATGTGGGCATATTTCCATCTGGGCCTATTTCCAAGCAGCTCTAGCATTAGTTTTACACACCCTGTCCCTAGGCCAGGCCTAAAATTCCCTTTTGTGACATGGGAATCGCTCCTGGGGAGAGGGGCCAGGTGCAGCATCCCCTCTCACCCCCTCAGCCAAGGCAGGGTGTGGGCTGATGGCACATTTTGGGCTGAGGGCCTGAGCCACCCCGGGGCTGCTGTCACCCCAGGACCAGCCCCATGTGCAGGGTCTAAGGATCCAAAGCTTAGCAAGAACCAAGCACTGAGAGGTGACTTGTCCTGCTCTTGGCAAACCAAGGACAACCCCCAGCTACAGGCACTCACCTCACCTTCAGCTGCCCACAGTTCTGCTCACCTGAGATTATAAAATAAGACTCAGCTGAAATTCAATACTTCACTTGAGTTTGAGAACTTGCACTTTTAAAGGACCTTTGATTACCTTTTCCCCCACTGTAGATCTTAAATAATCCTGGCTGTCAGAAGCCCACAGGTTGAACTGAAGTGGAAATTTCTGTGTAGCCAAATATGGAGCAGATTAAAGAAAAATAAACCACAGAAGGAAAACAAAGTGTTTTGTTTTCCAAAGGGAGTTTTGTTTTCCTGAGGGAGTCACCCAGGCACACATTGTGCCCAAGGTGAGGAGCAGGAGGGGAGAGCTGCTACAGCAGTAACGCAGCGAAGACCATCCTCCAAAAGCTGAAAGAAACCTGCGATAAGAAACCATGTTTTAAGGCTCATGGATTTTATAGTCACACCACACAGCCACTGGCCAGCTGCCATCACAGCTTACCATGTCTGTCCTCACTGCTGGACAAGTCTGGAGCATTTCTTTGAGTAATGCCCACCACCATGATCACCTCTGCCCAGCCCCAGCCCCCCACAAAGCTATCCTTGTTCTGCCACTGCAACCAAGCACAGATCATCAGCTAAACCCCATGCCCTTAAGGACATTGTAAAATACAAGCAGGCCTTGCACTGGGCTTGGCAGCAGTGTGGGGCCACCCCAAAACTGCTGCCACCCTGGCACTGCTGTTCCCATCCCGCATGAGGCCAAACCAAGCCCTTTGCTCAACCCTCCCCCAGCCGTCACCCCCAAATTGTGTCACTTCCTCACCAGCTCGCTCCTTCTCCCATGGCAGATCATGTTGCCCTCTAGTGGATTTGAAATTCTTTTTGAACAAAAAAGTAAAACAAGAAAACAACAAAACTCAGCAGTGGCGATGACTGGGAAAATAACACACACACAAAAAAATACCACTAAACAGAGCAGAGCAGGAACGCTGCTGCATTTCCACTGTAATAGAAAAGCAGGAGGCTGGGGTACAGGTTTGCCAGGAAAGCAGCTCGTCTCCCAGAGCTGCAGCACACCATGTGGCTGCAGCATGGAGAAGGAGAACCTGCCGGGCACAGAGCTGCCCTGGGGACAGTGGCCCCACTGTGCATGGCCACCAGCAGCACAGCACCCACCCTGAGAGCCAGCCCAGGTTTTGTGTACTGGCACTGTAGCCTAAGGGCAGGCAAGAGGAGAGGTCCCCAAAACGGTCAGAGCTCCTGCCTTGGCCCTCTGAGGAACAGCCGAGTGTCCAGGGTGAGGGGGAATAACTGAAGGCTTCGTCCAGCACAGGGAGCTGCTGTCCCCACAATGAGACGGGGAGCGCCAAGTGCCTGCCTGCACTGCTCAGTCCCACAGGAAACAAGGTCAGATTTACAAACAGGATGAACACAATTTACCCACAACACGAGACGAGGGCCTTTGAGGCACCATCTGGTTCCCCTTTGCATCCAGGGCTGAAGTCATCCACGGGCAGCTCCATTTTGTACAGGCAAGCGCCAAGAGGTGCCTCTCCTCTTGGGCAGGAGGAATTTAAGCAGTTACCAACCTCTGCAATGCAAATGCTTTCAGGAGGGAAATACTCCACGACCGAGGTGGCAGGATAGAACAAAATAACCTCGCGGCCCAAGGCCAAGCCCTCAAGCCATGCTTCAGTCCTGAGCCATGGGCACCCCCAGCAGCCCCTTTCCCAGCAGTGTTTTCAGGGTGAACCCCACAAGAGAAGCTTCAGGGCAAGCCACAAAACCCAGGAGGCATTAGCAGCACTACAACAGCTGCCTGTGCTCCTAGTGGGTCTGTTTTCTTTGGCAACCCAACTCCAAATCCATTAAGGGAAGGCCAGTGTGAAACCAGGACACTCATCGCAGTGACTGAGGGCTCCAGCCCAGCAAGTCAGGCCTGCCTTCAGCTCTTCCCCTGCCCAGTCACCAGGGCTCAGTGGAAAATCAGCAAAAGGAGAGGAGAATCAGGCCTTCAAGCATCTCCCGCACCCAAAAGAGTTGATCTAAAAGAAACATGGGTATTTTCAACCTGCAGGTCAGCACAGGCCAGCCTCACCCTGTACTCCATGATAGGTCTTGCCCACCCCAGTAGGGCACTGACCACACCAGGAGCTCAGGGCCATGCACTCAGATCACATCAGGGGATTTCTCTGCTTCACTTTGGAGAAATCATCCCAGCCAGAAGAATTGGGCCTTTTGTAGGCCTCCCCCTACACGCTATTTAGCAACTCTGTTCAAAATGTCTTTTCCTGTGTGCTTTGGGACACTGGATGGTTGCCATCAAGTGACTGCAGTGCAGAGTAACCCATCGTGAGCATTTGCTTTCTCTGTGCAGAAGTTTCAGGTCTTCCTGTGCCACCAACACTCAGTCAGGTTTGAGCACACAGTGTCCATGGCTGCTTTTTGGGTTCAGTTACTCCTTCTGTGCCCCTTATAAGCAAGATTCAGGCAGGAAGGGAAGGGAAAATTGTACCAGTGTATAGGAATGTCACTGTGCTCCCTCCTGTAATCCTATCCATGGATACCAAGTTTCCCCAATACTTCTGCTCAGTGACTACACCAACAATCAGTGTTTCTATGATTTCTCCTGAGCATACCTGTGCACACTTGTCTGCTTCACAAAGCTAAACAAGCTTTGCTCAGCCAACATATAGGTTCAGGAATATATTATGAATAAACCATCTACAGTGAATGTCAGCTAATCCACTTTTTTATTACCATGGGGAACTTAAGCTGTGCAGTACCCTGGGCTGAAGGGCACAGCCCACTCTTCTTCTGCACATGAAGCAGACCCTGCTCTTTCCCACACTCTTCCCAGTTTTATCCCCATCCCTTTCCCACACATCAACCCAGGGCCTCCCAGGCATCAGCCAAAAAAGGCGTTCCCAGCAATGGCACATTTCAAGCATCTGCCCCATTCCTGCAGCTCCCTTATTGTGATGGGAGCTGAACATCTGTGCTTTGGACAGCCCAGGACAATTCCTCCTTTTGGGGAATGACATTGTACCCTATTACCAGGTACTGAAGGAAAAGAAGCTGCATTTGACACTCTAGTTCCTCACTCAAAATTGCTTCTGTCAGACAACTATGTCCCTCTGGGGACAGCCACATGTGTGACAGGTCCATCACAGGCACCCAGTGGTCCAGTTGCTGGACAGACATAGCTGCTTCTGCCAAGTGAGGGGGGATGTAGGGAGAAAGGCGGGCAGAGCACCTTCTCCCCTCGAAAGCCCACCCATGGGAGGAACAGCACCAACCTCTCCCCAACTTCTTCACCCACTCCAGCACTCTGCATGCTCCTCCACTGGTCAGGGCAGAGGGCATTGGGAAGTTAGTGGATTTTCCATCACAAGCTAATAACAAAGAATAAGTCCTCCCCAATCTTCACAGCCACTCTGATAGTGCCGAATGGGGACAGCATTTACCTTCAAATGTCTTGAGAAAAAAAAATAAAAAAAATTATAAGGTCCTGAATAGACAAAGCAGGAATTCAGCAGACATGCTATTTGGGACACAATCTAAATTTGAAGTAACTCAATTGCCTTCCTGTTAGCCCTTAGCCATCCGCTTTCCCAGAAGTAGCTGCCTGTGTTTCCAAGACAATTGGCAACTTCTCTGCATCTCTCTCACATTGTGACAACTTAATTCAGCTCCCGTAGAAGATCTGACAAGGCAGTCAAAGGAAAAGGTTATAGAAAGGAGGAGCATTCCCTTTAATACAAGCTACAGAGTTTATAATCATCATTAACCAACTTCACAGGCTGAGAAGAAAGATGTTTTTATATTTAAGTTCATTTTGTTCAATGGAAAAGTTCCAAACAATTTTTTTTCCCCAGTATTACTCATGAAAAATTTTATATGCATTCAAATATTGCCTAGGTAGGTCTCCTAAGCCACTGACAGAGCCTCATTTCATCTGATCATTAGTTGCAAGATGAGTTCTTTGGGAATATGATCTCCTTGGGGAATCAGACAAGTTGAGAAAGTGTCCCTCAGGGGAATCACAGGTTTAATATTCAGATTCAATCCTCAAAATTTGTGGTCTAACTCTCCAGTAGAGTTTGAATGTGTGGTTGAAGACATTTAGTAGAGCATACTTTATCGCCGAGCTGAAATTTATGTTTTGTCTGGGAACTTGTAGGCTGAGCTGCTGGAAGTGGAAACCTATTTTCCTTCCCACCTGACCTGGGACAAGAGCCCGTTCCCCTTATCTCAGGCACGTCGCGTGCGTGTAAGGGCAGTTGAGCAACACCCAGGTGCTTTGTAAAACTGTTCCCTATGTGAGTGGGGCCACTGGGATGCCAAGGCCCGTGTCCCCACAGCCCCAGATCACAGGTACCCTCACGTAATGCCCAATTCTGAGTCCAGATGAAGCAACCCAGCGATGGCTGTCCAGATCAAAGGGCAGAAACCCACGTCAGAGGAGCCCCTGATGCAACCAACAGCAGCACTGGGAGCAGACAGGACAGAGCAAAACACCTTTCTGCACCAAAAGAGGAGGACAAGGAGTACAATGCCAGAAACTGCTGGAGGAGGGATAAACTCACCTGTGCCAGGGTGCTTGTCTGTGCTCTGGCAAGAGGGAGGATTCCAGTCCCCAGGGCTCTTAATCAGGCATTTAAAATAATAAATCTTATTACACTAAGCGTATTACTGTTAAGCCTTCAGCTGTTAGCGTTCGGCCGTTGTTGGAAGGGCCAGGCCCAGCCACACATCAGCCTAAAAGCAACGCATCCAAAGCAGCAAGATGATACTTCCAGGAGCAATAACCACTCTGAACTCAGCCCAGCCAGCACAGCTCCCTGTGGCAAGCAGTGCCGACACCAGGGGTGCACACACCAGTTAGCATGGGAGGTCACCCATACATCAGACATCCCATACACCAGACATCACCCAGGCTCTGCTTCCCCACCCTCCAAAGCACACACAAGCTTTGCCAGCCCCCAGCCCAGCTCTTACACCCCCAGGAGAGGTGAGAGCCCACATTCATCCCCCAGGGCAGAGGAAGGCTCCCTGCAGGCACTGCTGAGCCCCAAGCAGAAAACATTAAAAACCAATGTTCCCTCCAGCCCAAACCTCAGGATAGCCATGTCACTACTGAATGCACCATCACAGAGCAGTGTCTCCAAGGCAGCACCTTCTCATCAGGATACCCAAAACAGACCTCACAGCTTCTGGGTGTGCTCTATAGCCAGCAGCAATAGCTAACAGCAATCACCTGGAGGTCCACCTGCAGAAGCTATAGTTTTTTTGTTTGTTTGTTTGTTGTGTTGTTTTTCTGCCTAAATTAAAGCTTTAACCACCTGCTTGCCAAGGGTTTGGTGTGGGATTTAGCAATCCAGACACTTTTTGTGGGTACTTGGCTGTTGGGGAGTGTGCAAGGGGTTGTAGGCAAGTGGTCCTGTGGGACCAGGCAGAAATCATGGTAGATTGTACTCACACCACCTGTTCGTCCTTGTGCCAAAGGTTGTTTTGTTGTTGTTATTATTATTCAAGAGGTTTTAATGTCGATCAGGCTTTTATGTACCATTTGTTTGACAAGGAGTTTACCTTGAATAGTCTGACATTATCAGCTGTGATTCCAGCACTTCATATTTGTGAATCTGTATTTGCAAAGCATTGAATGTGACGTGAGCACCCAACAGGAACAGAACAAGAAAAAATCAGCCCTGAAGATCTGACTTATTGAGTGTGAGTAACTGAAAACAGGGTGTCTGCTGATTCAGTTGGCTTGCGACGGACTCTGTCATCATCGTCACTTACTTGATTTCCTTCTCTACCCACACCTCTAAGCTCCAGAGCTATGCAGAGAGCTCTCTGCCATTTTCCTGGAGGGGAATAACATTTCATTTCCACAGTAATCATTTGGGCAGAGGGCTTTTTTACAGCAGAGGGCTGCTGGTTTCCTTAAATTTTCTCTTCCTGCCTCTCTGTTTGTTTCACAAGGGACAGAGAAGATGTATAAAGGGCAAATGCCAGGGGGGTCTTGGAAGCTGTTAGTCATCGGTGCACTCAGAGAGCTGTGGAAACACTGCTGGCTTCAAGCAGGAGCCCAACACGAGACACAGCTCTCTGCTCGGGCTGCCGGTGCATAGGAAACGGGCAAGTAAGATGAGATCTGTGTTACAGAAAAACACGGATCCAGTTTCACATCACAGCATGGGATGCCTCTGCCTGGCCTGGCCTAGCCAACAGCTTGGGAAGCTCTCCTCGTTTTCTGCTACCCAGGCTGGGAGGAACCAGGGGATCTCTTCTGTATACTCTTACATCTTACTGATATCCCCAGTGGCAAAGGATTCCCCAGATAGCCCTCCCAGCACACGTGCTCCTCGCTGGAGCAAGGCAAGAATGATGGACATGGCCCTGACCCTGCTGCCTTGCCCAGGAGAAGCCTCCCTGAGCCCTGCAGCAGCAGCCAGGAGGCCGAGCAGGGCCTGGCTGCAGTGGGACCTCTCCCACAGGGCCTTTCCCAGGCCATTGGGGTAACAAAAAGAGTTAAGGCCCATTAAGGATGAGTCATGCATCCCATGACATGCTCTGGGCCTGGGGACTAAACTTTAGGAAATGCCACTTACCACTGGCTCCCCCTGCACCCATAGCCTCCAGCCCAGTGCCACCCAGCACATTATACTGGTTCTCTAACGGAGTTGCTGGGCCCCGAAAAGCAGAGCCCAGCCCTGCTCTAGTCTCACTGGAAGCTTGCTCATACACCATCGGTCCTACAAAATTATTTTCTTTGGAAAGTGCTCAGCTGTTCAAGACAAACTAGGAAATCAAGAGGGATAAAATAAAACTGCTCCAACAAATGCAGCACTCGGATGCATTATCCCATTTGGAGAGGCTGGACTAAATACAGCAGTGAGAAAAATCTTGATTTCACTCCTGATTTAGCATTTTAAAGACTGACACGGGATTACACTATGCAAACATGCTGTTATCAAATGGGTTGGCTTCAGGCCCTTCCCCAGCCTGACAAGCAATCAGATGGCTATGGCCACGTTTTCTTCTAGCTGTGCCAGGCCTTGGGGTGACTCCACAAGAGGTCAGGTGGCCACTGCACTTTGCAGCAGGAAGGTGTAACATCACCCTCCTATTTCTGCTCGTTTGGGGCCTAAACTGCTTCCCTTTCCCCTTCTGTGCTCAAGCATGGAGATCTAGACAAGGAGGCTTCACCACTGTTGGTGAAGACCACCTCCAGGCACAACACTGCTTCTAACATGCCAGGGGAAGCAAGACCTGCACTTCCCAGTTTCCTTCTCTGCTTTCTTTATATTGTCTTCTTGCTCTTCCTTTCTACAGAAACTCCCCTGACCCCAGCAACAAGAACATCTTATTATGTGCAAATTTAGCATTTGGTGCAGCCTCACCTTGAGTATTGTCTTTAATTCTGGGCTCCACACTATAGAAAGGGTGTTAAGGCCCTTGAAGGCACTCAGAGGAGGGCAACAAGCTGGTAAGAGGGCAGGAAGGCACGTCCTGTGAGGACACTGGGGCTGTCTGGGCTGGAGAGGAGGAGGCCGAGAGGTGGCCTCACGGCTCTGCACCTCCCTGAGGAGGGGACAGGGAGAGGGGGGCACTGATCCCTGCTCCTGGTCACCCATGGCAGGAGTGGCACAAATCATAATGCCCTCAATAACATGCTTTAAATGTTGGTTAGCCCTGGAGTGGTCAGGCAGTTGGACATCGTCATCTTTGTAGGTCCCTTCCATCTGAATCACTCCTATTCTATTCTATTCTATTCTATTCTATTCTATTCTATTCTATTCTATTCTATTCTATTCTATTCTATTCTATTCTATTCTATTCTATTCTATTCTATTCTATCCTATCCTATCCTATCCTATCCTATCCTATCCTATCCTATCCTATCCTATCCTATCCTATCCTATCCTATCCTATCCTATCCTATCCTATCCTATCCTATCCTATCCTATCCCGTGCTGTGCTAGTCACACTTGACTGCAAATGCTGCTGGTCTTTGTCCTAAAATAATTCTCATTCGAATGACTAGAACATACAATCCCTAATTTGTGACTTGTATTACATTAGCCTCACACCTGTGGTTTAAAATTAAGATTTTTGAGGCGTTTTTAAGTGGCAGGAGACTTCCCAGAAGTGATATTAGAGGTTGTGTCCTCTGTCACTTGTAGGGGTGGCTGTAATGCCCTGAGCACGATGGAGTCAAAATGCTGATAAGATTTTCTCAATGCCAGTTGCTCTCTTTGTAAGAGATGACAGCTGGGGGTGGTTTTGAAGCTGGCAGACCCATGCTGAGCTGGCAGGGAGGCAGCAGCCTGCCCTGGGTGGTCTCTGTGTCTCCAGAAGACAGAAAAGCAGCACTGGGCACAGCAGCTCCATCACTGCCCCCCATGGGACACGGCCACACCAGCTGCAGGGGGACAGGGGCAGGACAGCACAACCCCAGAAGGACTAAGACTAGGGGAAGTTCAAATGCAGAAGCAGCACTCGTACCAGAATCAGCCAATATTTACCGAGTGGTGGCTCATGTGTGTTTGCATCCCAGGCACGCACACATTTATATGCGCTCATTAGCTACTTTCATTTTTAGCAAAAGTTAAAATCTAAGTTAGGTCACAAGAAAAAAAGAATTGCTCATATTTGTCCAACTTTCCATAGGCAAAATCTCGGCTCTGGCTAGCATCATGAACTGCTTTTGCTCAGCTCTTTTCCCACTGACAGCATCTCGGGCCACAAATGACCTGGTTTAGCAAAGCTACAGAGAGCCTGCCCATGCCATAGGCAAATTCCAGCCCTGGCCTAGATGGGTGTAATTCACATTCAAATCAGCTGAAGCTGTGCCAGCCTGTTCCAGGGCTGGCCCTGCTTGTGCGGATTTGTTCCTGAGCTTTGTTTTCAGCCTGTCACTTCAATGAGCACAGGCACTCGGGATTTTGGAATAGGAGCGAAGAGATGGCTGCCACAGAGCTCTAAGTTGAACAGAACTGTGATCAGCCTCCGATTTACTGGCTGTGACAATCGGGAGCATTTGGGGATACATATTTATGTTCCTAGCGATGAAAACACGAGGAGTTATTAATAGAAGAATCTAAAAGCATCCCGGAGACTGGGGAAGGTCTCATCATCCAGCGACACCCTGCCGTGCCCACTGCTGGGGACGTAGCCGCGCACGGCGTCACCGTACACCCACCACCAGCAGGGCAGGCTCCGCATGGGCAGACTGAGGACACCTGGATGCCACCCCCTGGTTTAGTGACATTTGGGCACGGAGGGCACACAGGGAGCAATGCTCCTGCCCTGGGGGCAGTGACAAGGGAGCATCCAGGGCTTTCCTTGCTCCTCTCACCTCAGGAGAGGTTTTCAGGGCGCTGCACATCACTATTCAGCACGAGGAACAGATGCACCAAGCGCTCACCCGTGTGTTTTTATCTCCACTCCTCTCTCTCCCCCCTCCACCAGCTTCCCTTGAGTTTAACTGCAGACACAAAAGAAATCCCTTTCCAGCTCTGAGATACCCGTTATGCAAACAGATGAGGCGGCCCAACTCTGTGCAGGGCCCTGACACGTCCCCAGCACGTCCCACTGCTGGGAAGGTGCCCACGGCCAGCTCTTGGTGCTTGGTGGGGACATTTGGCATTCACCAGCCTGCCTGAACTGAGAGCAGGACTGAAAATCAGCCCAAAGCCCTGCCAAAAACCAGACACAGCGCAGCCGGTGAGCAACAGGAGGGGGCAACTCTCACCACAGGTGGTATAAATCAGTAAAGAAACCTGCACGCCCGAGCAAATCATCTTTCCAAGCAGCCTCTCCAGGTCCCTGGTTGCCCTGTAACACTGCACTTGGCAGCCTGGGGCACTGCCACCACCAAAGGAAAGGCTGTGAGGGAAAATTTGTAGCTGGTCCTTGTCTGAAGGGCTTGGTTCCCCCAGGATGCTGCACACCTGGGAGAAAGGTGCTTGTATTACTTAAAGCCAAGCACATGGAATAAATCAACTATTTTACCCAGATTTATTTTTTTTTTTCCTGGAAACCTCTGAGTTTTCTAGGCAAAACTTTTCTGAATACATTAAAATATAGGTATCTCACATCTGCTATGTTCTTAAAGTTTTAATGTTATGTTCTTAACGTTAAAGTTTTGTTTCTATAGGGCCATTCTCCTATAAAGCTGTTTCCAATAGCTTAAAATTAGTTACAGATTTATAAACAATCACATATTTATATAAGGGGAGGGATTTTTTTTAATAAGTGTTTAATAAGACACTCAGAATATGAACTGGCTGTGTTTGAGGATTTTGTTCACTTTTATGGTATTTCTACCCATTTCTTTTATGGGTTCTGGGGAGTTCAGGCTAAACATGAGGGCTTATAAGAGGTTATAAAAGAACAGAGCAGTCGTATTTTTCATGGCAGTTTGAACAGCCAGGTTGAAATAAATAAATAAATAAAACAGCAGTGCTTTTCATCCACATCTTAGCCAAGTTTTCAGCCAAAGGTAGAAAGAAACACACACCAGTCTGAACAGTACTTGCTCAGCATCATTTTTTCTTGCCCTGGACTCATGTGAGCCGCCCAGAAGGACGTCCCGACACAGCTGCGTGGATGCACGCAGCCAGCACCTGGAAAGGCAGCAGGGCTCTGGCTGCGTGATCCATTTCTTTCTTTTTCCCCAGATTTATGCCTTGGCCAGCACATGCCGTGGTGGGCAGTGTGTGGTCCCGTGCCCCATTTGCTGCACGCTGTGCTGCCTGGAAGATGGAGCAGTGCTATTTTCTCATGGGCTTCTCTCCAGAGCACCTCCCAGCACAGTGCTGCGCTCTGCCAGCACTGGAGCTTCTGCTGGAAGTGCAGCCCAAGGAGTGGAGGGTCTGGAGGACTGGGGGAGCTGAAGGAGAGGATCCAAACAGCCACTAATGGCAGGGAACCAAGTGGAAGGCCCCAAAACCTGAGCCATTGGGGTGCGTGTCATTGGGAAGCCCTCTGAGCGTTCGGAGCATTGCTCCTGCTAACATCTGTCAAAGCTACGGGCACCTGGCACTTGTGCAAGTAAGATTTCCAGGTCTTCAGCAGGCATCCAGAGAAGGAAGAAACCGCATCTATTGCGGAACTGTGATCAAACACAGCAGAGGTGTGCTGCAGCCCAGGGACAGACTTGCACAAAGCAGGAGGTCCCCATCACCAGGATGAGCTGAGCACCCCGAGAGCCAAAAGCTCAGACTCCTTGTGTGCAGGTGGTCGTGCATCTCACACAGACCACTTCTGGCCCCTGGTTTTACAGCAAACTTCCTGAAAGAAGAGAAAAGAGCCAGTGAATAATTCATTGTGAGCCTCCTGTTTGTAGTCAAGCCTTTCTGCGTGTTTGCAAACAGGGTTATTGGTACCACGAAGAGCCATTCCCCTAATGCTGCTGGAAACAAAGGCTCCCTTTCTGTGGCTGTTTATCCAAAGCAAAGAGAGGGTGTGGGAGGAGGTGGGGAAACAACACAGAGAGGACATCCCACCCAGCAAGGTCACCCCTCGTGGGAGCAGAGGTATCTCCAAGCAAGGATGGTTTGGGACCCGTAGCCCCCATCCCAGGTGACACTGCCGGCTGTCCCTCTTGCCACCAAGCCTTCTCCTGGCTTCCTGAGGATCACAAACCATTGTCCCATGTCAGAAAGACTACTTCTGAACCTGCTAATGAAACTGAAGTTGTGAAAAGTAAAGAATTAGCAAAATGGCTTAAGTGAGTCACTCAGCACAGGGAGGAAAGCAGGCTGCAGGAACGCTTTGGAGGGCAAGCAGCAGGGCTGGCTGCTGCAGGACGTGGCAAGGATAGAACAGTTGAGCAGAAATAACATCCCTCTGTGATGTGTTGTACCTTCTGCTCCCATCAACCCCCTCAATCTGTAATTTGGTGGAAAACCAGGATCATTCCGGGCCATCATGCTTGAAAGGCTGTCACCCCCCCCTGCAAGACAAGGACCCTACAAGAAGGGCTGTGGTGGCACGGAGCACAGGGTGAGGAGACACCCTGTCACCGCTGTCCTTGCTCCATCAGTTCATTTCCAGCTGGGAGGTCAGGGAGAAAGCGTCATAACAGCTTTTGCCTCCCTGTTTTGAAGGCAAAGCAGTGAATAGGTATGGGAGAGCATCCTGCTGCACTAAAATCAAGTACAGATCCCCTGATTACAAATCAGTACAGGGGATCTGTACTGACCCCTTTTCCACAGGGCTGGACAGTACAGCAGCACCACTCACCTCGCAGCATTCAATTTGGGTGCTTTGCGTATTTTCATAGCACACCTGGGGACCAGGGAGAGGTTTTGCACATGTGTTTTTTTTTCCCAGGAGTGCACTAAAAAGCTGCCTCCTCCTTCGCAGGGCCCCTTCTGCCTGCTCGCGCTGCCCTTTGTGAGCTGAGCAGATCCAGCAGGAGGGGGAACATCGGTGGGGTCCTGACAGACCTTATGCTAATTCACCAAAGAGCATTTTAGACCATGCATGGACACTTAATAGAGTGGGAGAGACAGCAGCAAACATGACATTTAATAATGGGAAAGAAAAACGAAGTCTTTTACCCTGCATTTGGCATTCTCCCAACACCCAGAGTTAATTGTTAGGAGGGTATATTAGAAGGCAATGAAGGAGAAGATTGAAAACCCTGATTATGCCAAGTTCCTGAAAATGCTGAATTTATTGAATTTCGCATGAGAAAACACAGGCTGGGTCATGCTGAAGGCAGTGCCAGCAGCCAACGGAGAGTCAGGGGGTCTGCATGTGCTTGCTGGGGGGGGGGGGGGGGGCACAACACACCCCAAAGTCACTTCTTTGTGAGCCCCTGCCAGCTGCTGGCCAAGCCCCACTGCATCCCCAGGATGGGCAGGTTGGGGTAGATGCATCTACTGGGGCTGATGCCTCTGCAGCACGGGCAGACCTTGGTGCAGATGATGCTTGAGGCCTTCACATTACTCAGGATCTCAGCTTTCCTTTGGAAAAAGATCTAAACAGGTAAAGCTGGAAAGGACATCTCAGCTGGAAAGGCCATCTCTCTGTGCAGTAGATCCAGCTACGTGTGCTAGAATTTGGCAAGAGCGAGCCTGAGCCTCTCCAGGAGGTGCTGGCACAGATGCCCCTGACAGCACAAGAGACGTGGGGCTGGACTAATCCATCAGCCCTGGGTGCACGTGGAGGATGGGGCTGAGACATCACAAAAAAGGCACAGAGACATCACAAAAAACCTCTCTCTGCCTCCAGTAATGTGGTAGCCGTGGTCTTCCTGGGGCCACGGTGCAGACTTAGCATCCCACAGCACATTCCTCCAGGAGCCTGCCCGGTCCTCCCTGGAACCACGTTAGCTTTCAGCCCCATCCTGGTGCTGACACAGCCAGAGGGTGACACAAGGTGTGTTGAGTACAGCACATCAGTCACAGCAGCACATCCCAGACAACACCATATTTCTTTTTTGGGGCAGTTCATTCATTCCTGGCTGCTAGTGAGGGACAAGACAGGGGCTGAAGCTGACCTGTACAATCAGCCCTATAGCAAGACCCTCAGCCTAAAGCATCGCCCCAGGAAAATCTCCCGGATAGGAAAAAAGCACCACTAACTGCAGGCTCCTTCATGCCATTCCCAACCCCACCTGGGTTTGCTGAAGCTGGTAGAATTTACTCTGGATTTTAGTGCAGCAGGCTGCTTTTCCCTGCCCCCCCCCCCCCCCCTTTTTTTTTTTTTTTTTTTTTTTTAACACGGAAATCTACACCAATAAATGAAACCCGGCTCATGTCTTACCTGCAGTAGCTTTGGATTTACTGCAGGGGGTAACCTTTGGCTGCTGAAGCACTTGCTCCTGCAGCAAGGCAGGTTGGAGCAGTCTTCAGAGGTCAGCTTCCGTGGGGAGGAGACGCCAGTGGTGGGATTTATAGCCTGGTCCCCACTTAATTAAAGCCAGCTGCTGGTTTTCCCGGTTTCAGATAGCTTAAGAAAATGATCCCTAAACATATTAAAAAGACAGAAAGAGTCTGACATTTGGGGTAGGGTAAGTAAATTGATTATTTTGCAGTAGAGTGCAAATGAGAGCAGCTATTTACTGGTGCAGACCCCAGTATTCGACATCACCCAGTGCATGGCTACAGGAGCAGACTGCAAGTGGCTTTCACACGGCTCTGCCTGTGGCCTCTCCTGGCAAAATCTCTCCCCCGCCAGCCTGCCTTGGTGCTCCTGATGACTGGGGGCCATTTCTGGCACTGGTTTCCAGCCAGAAATGTGGGCTGGGGGAGCCCAGAGCTGCTGCGGTGGGGGCAGCGGTCCCTGTGGGTGAGGACCCTGTTCACTGGCACTGCGTGGTGGAAGAGCCCCTCGAGGACCCACTGGGGATGGACACAGGGGAGCTCCTGTTGGGACAGAAGGGAACCATGTTTGGCTTTTGGGTACATAACTAAGCCGGGCTCTATTTATTATTTTTTTTAATGAGTCAGAGATAAATCTATTAACTAGAACATCTAATAAACTGCTAAAGACTTGGTTTAAACACTTCCACTATTTCTGTAATACTTGGCCCTCTTTGTGAGATTTTGATTTGGTTTTTGGCTCGTTTTCTTTTTAATGAAACATTTTTTCTCCTCTAAGCACTACAAACATTTTCTTCCAAGGGGCTCTTTGAGGAAAGCACTGGCTGATCATTTGCAAGAGCGCTGTTACTCGGGGGCAGTTTTGCTTGGTAATACTCCAGGAGGCCTGGCAATAATTCACTCCAAAGCCCTGCGCCACACTGGGTTTTCAGGAAGCACGTCAGTGTGTGACTACAACCCAGGCGTCCCACTCTGCACAGGTTAGCAAGGGGAATTTGTGAGCCCACACCTACTGCCAGGTAGAGTAATTGGAAGCGAAACTCAGGAAAGTGTCAAATAATGACAGGAATTGAATGGGGGAGAGCAGATTTATCCTTTTACAAGGCTCTGTCCCCAAAATCATTTGCCTTTAGTCTGCAGCCACCACCACTCCTCACTCCTCTGCTGTCCTACCAGCACAAGCACCCTCAGAGAGACTCGAGGAGACCTCCACACAGGGAGGAGGGAAGGGTCTGAAGACACCAGGGGCTCGTCAGCAAAAAAGCAGCAAGACAAACCTGCAAAGGAAAGGAAAACAATCAATCAAATCAATCAATCAATGAAACAAACAAACAAACAAACAAAAAAAAAAAAAAAAAAAAAAAAAAAAAAAAAAAAGAACAAACCATCTAATCTACAATGCTTTTAAAGGAATGTGAGAGTCGAGCTGAAGACGAAAGGCTCCGTCCATGCAAGAAGCCTGTTTTCCTGACGAGTAGGGGGTGGTTTCGATTCTCTAGTGGCTGGGCTATTGCACAACTCCCGCGGAGCCTGCTGATGAATTAGTTACTTGAAAACCAGCAAAGCTTTGTCCTCTTCATGGCTCGGCTTCCCTGGTGTCTCCAAAATGTTTGTTTATGAGTGGGAGATGACTAACAGGCCTCTGCAGAAAGGAAGTAAATTTAGACTCCAGCTTTGGGAAGCTGTCCACAACGCGGGGCAGGGTGGAGCCAGCAGAAAACCCCACGAGAGCAGCTGGGCAGCGTGGAGGCAGCTCCGTGCCCCCGCAGAGCCTGGTTCAACCCCTCAGAGACAGGAGGCCTGGAAGCTCACCTCTGATGTCAGACAAACTCCAACCCACACAGAACAACCTTGTCTTACTTACCAAGATCAGACCAGGCTCTGGGAACAACAGGCCGGCACCCTCAGGGAGCCCACAGCTGCCACTGAAGAAAACACGCTTTTATTCCATACAAGCAACCAAATACCCTGAACTCTTATCTGACACTTATCACAAGGGTAACAGAGGAAGGTGCTTGAACCCCAGCCAAAATGTGCTTCTTTTTTTATTTTTTATTTTTTTCCTGCTTGATGAAGCACAAGTCGCAAGAGCAGCCTGTCCCTGGGAATGCTTGTACTTATTGCTGACCTGCTGGCAAGCAAAGCCTGGAAAGGCAATGGTGGGGGCAAAGCTCCAGTCCCTGTGCACCACACGCACCCAACCCTGAGCAATGTCTTGAAGCACTGCAGTGAAATCCACCACAGCTCTCCTGCCAGAGCCCCGGAGACTGGTTTGAGCCTGGCTATTTTACCCGTCTCCTGAAACACTTCTTTTCACGAGCTATAAAACTCTGGGATGTTTTGTTACTCACACAAAATCCCAGCCCCTGCATAACCCACCAAACACAGACCTTTCCCCCTGCCCTCTGACTGGAGCCAGTAAACCTCCCCGTATCATTTATGAAATGAAATTTCCACCCGTGTTATTGGCACCCCAGGAGGTGCCTGCGAGGTGGGTGTGCTCTTGCGAGCTCACAGGACCATGGCATGCAGCACCGGGCTGCGGGAAAATGTTGGAAGGAGCCCGAGTGAGTGTGTCTGCAATAAATAAATTTAAAAAAAGGCATGTGTGCTCCAAACACGCTATTCGTGTCAATGCTGGCTGCTGCTCAGCCATCCTGTCCTGGTCACGGCACCCGAGCAGGGCTGCAGGACAGGCCCAGGAGCGGGGCCGACCTTTCTGCGACGTGCAGCAGCTGGGCTCGCGCGTTTCTCAGCTTGCTATTTATACCCACCTCCCTGTTTACACCTATTTTCGTTTTGTCACACATCTCATCTTCTCTTTGCTTTATGTAATCTTTTTAGCTCCTCTTTGTTTCAGTTTTCTGGGCCGGAGGCACGGCAGAAAGCAAAGAATGTCACAGAGTGCCAGCAGTGCCTGGGAACGTGAGCACCTTGCTACATTCACGGCACGCATTGCACTGCACAGCAGTCCTCTAAAATGCACAGGCAGAAGCACAGGGAAATTCTGGCAGGGATAACTACATCACAACCCCTCAGCCACTTACTAAACCACAAAAAGACATACTAACAGGCAAATCTGATCAGACAGCAACAATAATTTCGGGGGCAAAAACAACACTTCAAAATGGAGAGTTGCGTAAAATGATGTTAGCGCTGAATCCTGAAGGTAACAGATATTGCCACCTGGGTTTTAGATGTCTTTATATACACAAAATTATCTTATCATCTCTGCCTAGAAGATAGATACTGATTTAGGAAAGGAAAAATCAAAATGAGAAGCCCAACTGTGAACTCTCTATGGTCTAATCTCCTGATTATACTTGGATTTGAAAATTTCATTAGAAAACAATTACAGAGAAACTGGAAATATCACGGAGGCTTAATCAACAGACCCAGTGGATTTCTTGGCTGCAGAGCAGCTTCAGACAGTGCTAGAGGACTTCTGTGTATGTTTGCATGAAATGAAAGGGAAAGAAAGATTGGTTTTATCCAGCACTTCACAGTGAAAGGGCTTTTGACTGATAAATCAATCTTCTTAAAAAAAAAAAAATAAATTAGATTTCCTTATATAATGTGCACAGTGGATGAATCTCTACCTGCTAAGCCTGCAGTTGCTGCTGGAGTTAACTGCGGCGACGCAGCCTCCTTTGACCGAGGGAAGGTCATGGAAGAGCTGCCCTCTTCCTTCATCCCTGTTTGTTATTTCATCAGACCTAGTTGCAGCCAAGAGCTGAGAGAATGAACAAAAGGGAATAAAAATAAGCCCTCAATGATATGCAAAGCATCAGTTGTTTGGTTTTTTTTTAATCTTTCTGCTTGGCCATATATCTATCATATTTTACTGTTCAAATGGCAGAGGAATTTACACAGCAAAACCAGACCAAATCTGCCCCTTGAATGAGTATTACAACACAGATACCTGCTTCTAAATGGAGGGGCCACAGCTGCTTTGCTGCTTTTTAGACCTTGTCATCTCACCCTGTGTTCAGCTATGAGATCAGGACAATGTTGGTCTGAACAGTAAGACCCGTTGTGGGTCACACATGGCCACATGTCTCAGCAAAATCAAATATATGAAAAGTAATGTTAAACACAGGTGAACTCAGATTGCTTAGGCCCAGTGATTGAGCCACTCATTTCAGAGCCTCAGAGCCCTGCTCACAGCCCAGCTATAAGTGCTTCAGGGTTAAAAGGATGGTTCTGGTGATGCTTCCTGCTGCAAGCCGAGCATCTCCATGGCACGGCGGCTGCAGCAGGAAGATTTCTCTCTTGCTGGCTCTGCTGCAGCTCCGTGCCCCCAGACTTCATCGAGAGAAGCAGTTCCACACAGCCCTGACACATATGGGATGCTGCAGAAGCCAGGAGTCTGTGCACATACGGCTCATGCTATAGACCTGGGTATCCCTTGGATTTATGCAGAGGCACCGCTGTGCCCCGCAGCATCCCCTGGCACTGCAGGGCTGCTGTGCCGGCGGTCCCGGGGGCCCTAGCAGCCTGATAACCACAAGTTTCATTCAAGCCAATTATAGCGCTTTATAAATAGAGGATCCTGCTTGTTTTGGAGCCGGCAACCAGCAGGCGGTGGGTCCTGTTTCCGTGAATAGTGCCTGGGTCTGATATGGCCAGGCTGGCCTCAGCCAGCAAGAAAAGTGCTGGGGTCAAAGCGGTGTCGTTGGGAAGTGAGAAGGTCCCCAGCCTGGCAGGGACAAGGCTGGGCATGGGGAGTCAGCAGAGCCAGGCTCTCCCCTGTCAAAAACACTGCCAGAACAGAGCGTTCATCCTATGCCTTCCTGCAGACATTTAAAACAGGCAATTTTAATCATTGCAGGTATACATTTAAGGACAAACAGATGCTGTCGCAATGGTGTCAGGCAGGTTTGTGATGTGAAACACAGAAAGCAAACGACTTGTTGGTTCATTACCTACAGCTCTATTCCTGGGGAACCAGAGGGCAACAATTTCACCCCGAATTCAATTAGACACCTGCTCAAAGCAATTCCCGACAGCAAAGGCAGCTCATTCTCTAATTGTAAAACACTGCATCTTTTTTTTTCTAACCTTTTAATATTATTGATCTTTTTTTTTTTTTTTTTTTCCAGGTGCAGGGGGAAATGCCAAGCATGATGTCAGCAGACAGAGTTACATGCCACAGGTGCTCTTTCCAAAAGCGGAGCAGTAAATGCCAGCCCAAGCACTGGCTGGATGTTGCAGAGCCTGATGGTGATAATGGAGACAAGCTGCACCCTGCACATTTGGGGCAGGAGAGGCAAGAGCCTGACCCCTTGAGCCCTTGGCTTTTGCTATGCCAAGGCCAGGTTGCTATATCGTTATGATAAGGGTAATCCTGTTAGGCAAACACATCAAACAAATAGTCATTCATGATTGCAGACCTTGTCTCGGCAAATCTAACCCCAAGTTAGAAATGTGCTGAGTGCACAGTCCTGGGGCACAGCTCACTGCGGGCTGACCGAGGGGTGGGCCGGGGTCGCCTCTGCCCCAGGAGCTCGGTGCAGGCGCTCGCCGAGGCTCGGGGCAATGCCTGGAAGTGTCCACAAACTGCCAGAGAGCGAGCCTGCTCTCCTTCCCCTTCACTTCATGGGTAGAAGAGGACAGATGACTCTCATGTCAGGCTGTTTTGCTTCTATATTTATGTCCTGCCTGAGGCTCACAATGTTCAGCTCAGATGCAATCCAGTCTGGTCATATTAATACATCTGGGACAATATTTTTAACAAGCAACATCGAGCCGAAGGCCACAACCGTCCGCAGGCGCCAGGAGCTCTCTGACCCCGCTTGCCCATTTCGCTTACAAAACAGAGAAGTTCCCCAAAAGGAACCCAGGAGGTCCCTTTTTGTCTTCTGTGGGACAAGCACACTGCCCAGCTCCCCACCCCACCCCCAAACATGCTGGCTCAAATTTAATCTCTGCTGTGCTCTGGGAGTTTCTGTAGGTTTCAGAAAGGATGAAGATGACTCATTTATTACAGATGCCAAAACCAAAGTTTAATAAGGGGTCGTCACTATCCTAGCCAAAATAAAACGGACACCCATAGCCTGTGACCACATCTGAAGGCTTGCAATGTAACTGCAGATGAAGGACCATCTCCTCCTCCAGCTGGCATATAAAAAATCAGTTTCAAAGCCTAAAAACATGGGTTACACCACTGCTGGGCACTAATGCAACAGATCTATGCCACCTGGTTAGCCAATTCTTCAGCTTCCCACCAGCCTGAGGCCTGGGAGCAGCCAGCCCCCACGTTTTGTACCTCACCCCAGAGCTGGCGGAGAGGTGTCCTTTCCAATGTGGAGGGTTTCTGAGCTTGTCTTGGGTTCCCAAGCATTATTTGGGCTGCAGATTTTTGGAAGGGAGTCACGTTAGTTGTGTGGCAGCCAGGAAACGAAAGTAATGAGAGAAGGCTTCCTCACTGCGTTGTTTCCAAGGCAGATTTTCTTTCATGCTGTGGATCAGGAAGGAGCTGACCCATTCTCACAGAAGAGAAAGCAATCCAGCCGGGGCTGGGGGCAGTTCAGGCTCTCTGTAAAGCAATGACTCACTCCAAGTCTGGGAAGCAGAGAGCGAGCAGCATACAAAGGGAGCGAGGAGGAGGAAGAGGATGGTGCCGAGCGCCATCGCGCAGGGGTGAGCGGGGTTTCAAGGCCCGAGTCCCCC